CTCACTGATTATTGGATATTAGCCCAGAACCTTGAAATGCCCAAGATGCAACTCACAGGCCACATGAAGCCCATAAAGAAGGAAGACCAAGTGGGGGTGATTCGGTCCTTCTTAGAAGGAGCAACAAAATACTCAAGGGAGCAAATATGGAGACAAAGTGAGGGACAGAAACTGAAGGAGGGGCCATCTCAAGACCACTCCACCTGAGTATCTATCCCATGTGCAATCACCAAAGGTAGATGCTGATGTGGAAGTCAGGAAGTGCATGCTGATAAGAGCCTGATATGGATATCTCCTCAGAGGTCTTCAAGAGTCTGACATACTCAGAGGCAGATGCTCACAACTAGCCATTGAACTGATCATGGGGTTCTCAATAGAGGAGTTAGAGTGAAGACCATTGGAGCTGAAAGGATTTGCGGAACCATGAGGAGAGCAACAATACCAACCAATCACAGCTTCCAGGGTCTAAACCACCAGCCTGGGAGCACTTAGGGAGGAATCCAGGGCTTCAGTTGAATATGTAAGAGTAGAGGGCCCTGCTGGGCATAGGTGGAAGAAGAGAACCTTGACCGCATGAAGGCTGGATGCCCCAGGGGGTGGGAATTTTGAGGGTGGGGAGGTGGGAGTGGGGGGGGAGTAAGTAGGGGTTACATCCACAGAGAAGAAGGAGGAGGGGTGAGGGGATTGGGGGTTCCTGGGTGGGTGGGGGATGGGGTAAGGGGACAACATAGGAAATGTAAATAAAACATCCAATAAAAATTAAAAAAAAAAAAAGAAAAGGGATACAAATTCAAGACTAGGATGGGGTACAGAGTAAGTATCTGTCTGGAAGCACCAAACCTAAACCAAATCTATTACAAACATTTAAATGTCATCGAAATACAGACAGCTGTTACAGCCAGGAGGAAAGCAGATGTAACAATCAAAGTTCTCATAAACATGGGAGAAAACAAAAAGCCCTTTAGTGTGGTACCTGGAACTATGGTTAGTGAGGCCTCCATGCTTTTACGTTTATGAGCTACAGTAGCTGCCACACAGCGGTAATTCCCAGCATCCTCCAGGCTAACATCGTAGATCTGCAACACTCCTGATGGCAGGGCAGTCACCCTGTTATAACAAGAAACATAACTGAATTTTCTGTAGTTCTTTAGAGCTCCTAAATATAAATACTGACAGAAATGAACACATTCAACCTTTTTAACTAAACTAGAAACAATGCTGTAAAGGCCTTTATAACATTTTTAACCTTGGTGGGGTGTGGTAAGCACCAGCCTGGCACGTAGGAGGCCACAGATGAAGCCCCCAGCCCTGAAAAACACTAGCTTGATTCTATTATTTCATTTGGGTCAAGACAGGTCTCTGAGATGTAAATAATTCTGCAGCACACAGTCTATAAAATTTGGCACACTAATTTTACAAAGGCAGTCCTGTTAACATTCTTCTGTTGATTTAGCTGATAGTGACTAAGGTCTTAGTACGAGTTACTCTCAAAATCCTGACTTTTTTTTTAAGAAAAACTCTCTAAGAGCTATTTATTCTCCATGACCCAGCCTCTGAAACAGAGCCACAACCCCACATATACAAAATTGAATGTGTAGAGTCATAAAAAACTGGCAAAAGGAAAACAATAAAAGTCAATTCAACATGAAGCATGCGATGACCTGCTTGTGGTGAGCTGACCCCTGCAGCATGTGACTTAATTTCTGAACTCGCTACACATGCGTATCATGCTGGACATACTGTCACACAGCACCACTGAACAATACCTGAGGCAGCCTGGCTTAGATTCCAAACCACTATGTGTTATGAAATGCAGTGTTTTTAGTGAACATACAAAGCTTTCTGTCCTTAATGAAACATAATAGCCTAATTATGGAAAACAAATAATTATAATAATTTAGCAGATGTAAGTATCAAATAAGAATATCTCTGGACTGCACTGTGTTAGGCTGCTTGACCTTAAGATTAATAAGTGTATTTGAGTTCAATAAAAAACTGATAAATGGCTGGCCAGGCAGTGGTAGCACACACCCTTTAATCTCAACACTAGGGAAGCTGAAGCAGGTGAATCTCTGAGTTCTAGGCCAGACTGGTCTATAGAGCAAGTTCCAGGATGGCCAGGGCTACACTGAAAATACCTGTGTCTCAAAAAGAAAAACAAACAAAGAGATTTAAGATACTCTTGAATTAGAATTTTCTTTTCTTTCAATAAAATACTTTGCAATTTCCCCCCATCTTTAGTGTTCTAATATTTAAACAAACAACTTTTGTATACTTCAGAGCAGGCAGGATCAAATCTTTTTTTAATGTTTATTGTGTGTGTGTGTGTCTGAGTATGTGTTCATATACCATATGTCTACACTGCTGAGTGCAGATCAGAAGTAGCAAACCTCTTGAAATTAGAGCTATGGGTCTTTGTGGGATTTAGTGTAGGTGCTAGGAACTGAACCCAGACCCCTGCAAGAGAAGCAAGTGCTTTGATTCACTGATCTATCTCTCCAGTCATAATAATGTGATTCTCTGCCAAGTAAGAAATGTCTTAAGAAATCAACTATTGCTGCCCTGAATGAACCATGCCCTGTCTTCCATGTCTGACCCCCTCCCGCGGGAAGCCCTCATCACTCGCGTGTCACGTCCAAACAGAAACACTGCGTTTACCTGTCCATGGTTATAGGCAGGGCTGTCCTATTAAATTCCCATGTTATGACTGCAGGGGGTGTTGATGAAATCTTGCATGAAAATCTAGCAACTCCCCCTTCATGGACTTCAGTAGACACTGGATGGACTTCAAACGCAGAGATAGCTAGAACAAAAGTGGACAAATTTAGAATAAGCACACAGAAGCACATTCAGAAATGACATCATGCATCACAGCTCACCAAGGCTGAACTCCCGCTCACACCAATCTAATTTAAGTAGTACAAAGATGATTTAATGAATAATTTGAAAAAAGGAAAGGGGCACAAATTAGGGATTCTGGTTTTCCTAGAACTTAAAACTCCGAATGTAGTCTCAGGAAACTATCTATTAGAGAGAAAACATAAAGAAATAACTGAAAGAAAGATAATTATCCAAAATAGTATGGAATTGTACACTCAACAGTACAGTACAGACCTGGTTCTACTGAATATTGGAGGGAAAGGAAACTAAAGGCAAACTAGGGCTGGAGAGATGGCTTAAAAGTTAAGAGCAAGTATTGCCCTTGCAGAGAACCTGAGTTCAATTCCTGGAACCCTCACCAGGCAGCTCACAACTGCTTGTAACTCTAGCTCTAGCACACATGCATATCACACACACACACACATACTCTTAAAAATAAAATATTTTTCAAAATATAATAAAGACAAACTGTCCAGATCAAAACTATCTCTATGGATTGGCTTTTGAAAACCTCATTGGATTCCAAAGTGGAGAACATACAATTTGAGGCAAGAGGGGCAACACAACATAAGCACAGAAGAAAAGAATGGTAGCCTGTATTCACAGGATGTGAAGGAACAGACAGAATATTATAGATATTTCAGATGAAGCCAGCCAGCAATGCCCCAGGATGAACCAAAAAGAGGAGTCTCACAAGTCCAATGGGATTTAAAGAGGAACGAAGAACCAGAATACTGAATCCTCAGGGGGAAGGCGGGATAACCGTTTAGGTCAGGAAAACAAAGAAAACGGCAAAGGCCATTTTTAGCTCATGCATTTCCAAAGCAGAGATAAATCTTGAAGTGTTGATGTTTCTAGAGCCGATTCTTCTTTCCTATACTATACAGGCCTCCACGGCGCCATCCCCAGTGTCTACAGTTCTGCATGTTGAAGGTGTCCAGACATCAGAAATAAAGTGACCCTCCCCTCAGCTAAGCCTTTCAAGACACAAAGACAGGAAGGACCCTGAGGATGGTCTCACTCCCTTCCTGAGACTCCAGTTCAAAATGCCTTCACAGTTAATCAATAGAGACAGAAATCAGAAAGAAAAAATGAAGAAGCAAGGGTTACACTCCATTAGATTGGAAGGGACAAAAGGGCAGAAGGAAGCTAAATTCTGCTTTGGGCTCAACTGTACATTTCTGTAGACAGATTACTAGTCTTTAGAGGCCTATAACAGTCAAAATATTATCAGAGGAATTTACTTTCAAAACTCTGGAATGAGGTTATTTTTCATTCGTGTCAGTAACAAATATTTTTATTCTTGTGGAAAAGAAGCATGCAGTAGATCCTAAGCGTAAAAATCATTTTCAAAATAACCATCATTTGCCTTCTTAGTTTTTTTCTCTTGGGTGTATAGAGTTTTCTACGATCTACAAGATGGGAAAGTGTTGAAGCAGACCCAGTCAGTTCAGAAGCACACTATACATGGTCTTGTTAAGTAAAGTAAACAGATTTATACAAGTATGAAACAAGACTGAGGCTGGAGAGATGGCTCAGTGTGAGAGCACTGGCCACTCTTACAGACAACCTGGGTTGAGCTCCAAGCACCCATATCAAGTAGCTCACAACTCTCTCCAACTCCAATTTAAGAAGAACTTATGCTCTCTTCTGTTCTCAGGTATTGCATGCACACAGAGCACAAACATAAGATGTGGGCACACACACATAAACGTAGAAATAAAAATAAAAGTTTTGTAAAAGCAAAACTAATAATAATATTCCTTTCATTTATTTCTAGCTTTGGAAATTATATTAATGTGTTATTTACATTAATAAGTAATGAAACAATGTTTTCATATTTAAAATAATGAAGGTCTAATAATTAAATCAGCCAGTTTAATTATTAATAGGGTTTAGCAATAGATTTAAGTGTTCTGCATGATACAACATGCCTTTTGGTCCCAGCACTCAGGAGGCAGAAGTAGGTGAGTCTTTGTCAGTTTAAAGCCAGCCTAGTATACACAGTGATTTCCAGGCCCACCAGAGCTACCAATCTGTCTCAAACCAAACCAAACAAACAAACAAACAAACAAGCAAAAAGATATGTGACATGAAAGTTTTGGGAGTCCTCAAAAAGTTTTAAAAGTATAAAGAGTAACACTAAAAGTTCTAGAACCACGTCCAAGAATATCAAACTCTAAATACCAATGCATAGTTTCCTTTAAAAAAAAAACAATTCATTTTATTTATTCTGTGTGTATTGGGATGAGAGGGTACACATATGACACGTCATGAATATGATGTTTACAGAGAAACTAGTGGGAGCTGGTTTTTTCCTTCTACCATGTAGGTCCTGAGATCAAACTCAAGAACTCAGGCCTGGCAGCAAGCACCTTTACACACTAAGCCATCTTGCTTGCCCCAACTTTTCCTTTCGATGGTTACTTTCTAGGACACTTATCTACAAACTCATGAATTCTAGACTGTCTTGCAGACCACCACTGCTATTCACCTACTAAAGACCTGGGAAGTTGGGGCTGGGAGACAGCTGGTCCAGTATGTGCTGTTCAGGTTTGATATAATCCCTAGAAAACACATAGAAAGCTGGGTCCAGCTGTCTGTGCCAGCAGTCCCAGCCTGAAACAGGAAGATGTCTGTAGCTGGAAAAGCAGCAAGGAAGTAGGAGAGCACCAGCAAGTGCCTCTCTCTGATTCCTGACTGTAGATGTAGGGTGACCAGCTGCCTTACACTCCTGCTGCTCTGATTCCTGACATCATAAACTACCCACGACTATAAGTCAAAAAAACCCTTTCTTTGTTGAGTTGCATTTGTCAGGCATTTTACCATGGCGATGAGAAAAGTAACTGATAACTCCCTTTACAAATATGCTCATAATTCTCTTTACACATATGTTCCACTCCTGAAACAGTTCTTAACTCACACTGACTATCATCTACTAAGGGCCTCCACAGCTCAACCTGCTACCCAAAGCTACACATGTATCACATTCACATAAAAACCAACTCCAATTTAAATGCTGTCAGAAAGTACAGTCTTACTCAGTGGTTAAAAACACAATGCACCAAAAAAACCTCTTAGTTCATTTCCCAGCATCCTTATCAGGTGACTCTTAACCGCTAACACCTCAGACCTCAGAGGGACCTACACACAGAGACTCCACATATGCACACTTTAAAAAATAAATACTGTCTTTAATTCCAGTGCTGGGGAGGCAGAGGCAGACAGATCTCTGTGAGCTCAGGCTAGCTTGGTCTACATAGTGAGTTCTGGGCCAGCCAGGGTTACATAGTGAGACCCTGTCTCAAAACAAAAAATAAGTTTTGGTTAGTTAAGGTACTGAACAAATAGAATGAACATATCTTTAGTGCATTACAAAGAAAGAATGAAATTGTTAATGCCAAGTATTTATGTTTACGTGTTCTTGACTGGGTACGGTCAACAGGCTAGTTGGTGGAGGTGAGAAAAGCAATTTGGCATCAATTACTTCAAAACCAAACTCAGAGCAGTCATTTTAAATTGTATAAAGGTATAGGAAACATCTCTGGGCCCTGAACCGAGGGTCTCATGCATGCTAAGAGAGAATGCCCCACCTAGTCAGGACCCAGTCTATAAAGCTTTTCATACATTGCTATGGTTTGAATATAAAATACTCACTCCCACCAACAAAATCTCTGCTCTTAAAGATATTCTGCAAAATTATAACGCAAAGGAACCAATTTCCATGACTCATACATTAACATCAACCCTACTGTTCACACAATTATACGACTCATCTATCTAGTGTCAAGCCATGTGGATCAGCCCTGAATTATACAGTAACAGGCAGATTCACTGACTCCTAACTGGAAAAATATTTTAATCATATTCATTTCAGCAAGTTTTTAGACTAAAGTGATCTCTCCTAAGTTTACCGACTCATTCAACAAGTATTTATCTGGTGTCTGGTGCTCTCCAGGAGGCAATAATCCAACAAAAGACAAATCGAAGAGGGCTGCATTCAGGAATCTGTCTGAGAGTAGAAAGAGGTATTTAACTAAATTGCTGTGCAAGTTGGGAGTTCAAACTGTCGTAAATGCTGGGGAGGTAAAGTACAGAATGTCACAACACAGGTTTCAAGCCTTTTATGATACAAGAGCTTGACATAGGTTTTGTTGTTAGGTCTTGTGTTATGGGTGGAATATAATCTAGATTTTTTTTTTAATTCTTGTACTGTATTATCCTAATATTCAGCTAGCTAAGAGGTGGGCACAGAGATCTGAAGCCTGGTGTCTAGCAGGACTGCATATGAACTCTCTTATAAGCCTGAGCTACTCAGTGCTTTTAGGGAAGATGAGAACTGGAGATTCTGTATCTGTGAGCAGCAGTGCTCAGAACAGGCCAACATGCACTGGCTTTCTAGCTGTATAAGACTGTGCGTCAAATCCCTGAGTTTCTGACCAGAGAGATACCTTTAAAACCTCTGCTTGGAGCTGATGATGCAGCTCAGTGGTAGGGTACTTACTTACCCAGCATGCACAAGCACTTACCCAGCATGCACAAGGTTTCCAAACCCCATCCTCATGGCAAAACTAAACAAATAAAACCTTGTGTTTACTGACATTTACTGAGGCTATTATCTCATCTTTACAGAGGAATGTATGTAAATTAAATCGCTTTAAGTTTAAAATTTATTTAATAAGCCATATATCTTTAAAAAACAAAACAAAAACTGGTCAGGTCTTGTGACACACACTCCAGACTGAGGAGGGAGATTACAAACTTGAAGCCAGCCTGATTCTATTCTGGTTATTCTTTTTCTCTTTTTCTTGTGTGTATGATGTATACATGTATATGTTTGTATTTTTTCATGTGTATGGGCACATATGTACACACATAGGTACACACATGCACCTGCAGGCCAGAGGCTGACATCTGAATCAT